CGAACTGAAGGCGCTCCTAAGCAGTGCTACTAGTTCGGATATTATAGCAATTGTAGGGAATATGAACTCCGAAGTAGGGCGTATGAGCTTTTCAGAAGCTTAGGTACACGGGTATTATGGGCTTAACTCCGAACGGACGGATAACATCAAGAGTCTGTTAGAACTGTATGCGGATCACCGACAGTTTCCTAATAGCACTGCTTTCATACACAGTGAACGCCGAAGTGTCAATTGACGTTATCCTGTAGCTGATCAGCGACTGACCTAAATTGATCACATTATCATAAGTTACAAGTGGCATGGTTCTATCCCGCATTACCGCTAGTTCTGAAATAGTTCTGAAATACCTGCATCGACTCTGATACTGCCTAGGTACGCTGTCGTTTCTTCAAGAACCTTACCGGGAGGCATGACAAGTGTCCCCCGGTTGGCAACTGAAAAATTGTCTCAGTCCTCGATCACGCAAGCCTACCAAGATGCACCACGTTCCGAAATTTCGCTGTGTTGTCCTAATGAAGCTGAGCTTCAGTAGAATAGGATCTCGGTCGCCATGCACGACGCAGGAGCGCCTGCTTGTGGTACTATCAGTCGTCACCTCACCACTCACTTGACATCCGAGAATTCGGTGACCTGTTGGAGTCCAGAAGTATCTCCCTGCTGCCGCTTCTAGGCGCAGTGTGACCGGCCAGACTACTAGGCCTGAACTAAAGCGGAAGCTGCATGCTGACAAGGTAGCTAAGTAGGCCAGTCGATCTTAAGAAATGGAGGAGGCAGGAGCAGTAGGGATGATTGGCGCCACTGATCCTAGGAAACCAGGCGTCAATTAGACAATCAGAGGCAGCGCGGGTGCTCTGATGTACAACAAGGAACGCCGCATGACTCCTTAGGCAGAGCACTTTTAGGATAAGTTCAGTTGTCCCCTGCTCCCGAACTCTTCCTGCTCAAATGACGTAGGATGAGCCATGGACGGTTAGATTAGAGGCTCCACCGGAGGCTGAGGTCAGAAACGCCATCACCTCCCTCAATGGCTTGTTTGCTTCTGGCTCTGATTCTAACCCACTTGCGCTATTTAAGGATGGGAGTGATGTCCCCTGCAAAGCGCTGAGCTTCATGTTCGAACAGGTGTGGAAAGCACAAGCCATCCTTCTAACTGCAGTGAATCAATTATATTGGTACTATATAAGACGGGCGTGCCCCATGCTGAGGCTGATGTCGCATTCATGATGCTTCTTCACCGCAGCGTAGCTAAACAAACTTACACTTAAACTAGGTCTTTTTAATGTGGATAAATTTCATTACATTTTCTTTGGTTTGTTCTGCGTACTTGATAATCTTCTCCCAACTTACACACGTCGCCATGCAAATTGTGGTAAACTTGCGTAATTTTATCGCGTGGTATTTTTTAAATAACCTTCGGATATTTTGTACTTATCGCGTGTTGACATTTAACCACTTTCTTCCATATGCTCATTTAGCGAGTATTTATGTCGTCAAATGCGTTTACTTTATTCGATATCGGCATTTCGAATGATTGGCTCTTGTTTGACATCCCATGTGTGGCTGCTCTTGAGGTGCATGTTGACAAGGTGCCTATCTGTCTATTACCCACTACCTCGTCCATCTGGCTACAGGAGACAGTTGGTCGTTGCTGGAGGGGACGGGGTGCACGGTTCTTGTGGTCGTGCTAGGCTCGAAGAGTGGTTCCATGTGGTCAGTGTGGAGCGGACTACGGTCCAGCCACCGATTTGTGTGCGATTGATTCCCCAAATACAATGTGCTTGTGTTTGTCTGTGATGGAGTGTGGGCCGGCTCCGTTGATAAAACGTGGCTCCCATCCACATGCCTCCCGGTCTTATTCCTTCAGGTTTACACTGGATATGGGGTGTGTGGATGGAGCTGTGGATGGTGCAGCGCAAGCCATCCATGGTCTCTCTATAGGCGCAGGCGTCCTGTGGCTGACCACAGTGACAGGTAAATCCGAAACCGGATGCTGCCAACTGTATAAGACGGGCATGCGCACCGACTATGTTAACCAAAGCAAGTTGTGACAAAATTACTGGCCTCAATTCTCATTCGTTCATCATCATCCTCATTATACACGTTAGCTAGAGGTGGGAAACACCTTAGCTACTGTGTCGCAATACATAGAAGAAAAAAACGAGAAAAATGTGCGGCCGGTGCAAGCCGGCTGAGCTACCGGTAATGGATGGGCATCGTTCCAATAAGCTCCCAGCCGGCTATTGTGCGTCAAAAAAATTACTATGCAAAATTATATAAGGCCGTATATGCAAGACCACAGTGGGGCCGTCGAACTCTATTGGAGTAAGACTTGGCGGCTTAGGTCTGAAAATCTGAGGTGCCATCAAAACTTTGCTCATCGTTGTCTGCGGAGCATTGCGAGTATCTGGTGGCACCAGCGTCTCATCAATAATGATGTGCGTAGACGAGTGCTAGGCAGGGATAGTCATGCTAGTTCGTTAGAACTACGGGTAGCACTGAATAAGTTGCATTGGCTTGGGCACCTACTACGTATGCCTGGTCACCGCTTAGTGAGAGTGGTTTTTGGCTTGCTTGCCGTATGAAAGGGTTGTGCAAGGGTCGACGTGGGCATAAGTTAACTTGGCAGTTGGAAATAAAGTTAATGATGGCCAAACTCTGCGCTAATGTTTCGTCTCACCTTCCAGGTTATTGTCCATGTGACTCGCCTTGTTCATTACTAGCAGTCGACACCAGTGGCATGTCTGCTATCGCTTTTTAATCGGAATACCTCATTAAAGTGTGTTTGGTGCAGAGTTATCTACGGGATAATGGCTGATTGTGACGCGGGACAGTGGAAACCGCATGGAATCTGTCTCCTCTATGCCGTCCAATCTTTGCACCATGTCCAGCGGTTTTTGAGGGTATGTTGTTGACCAATTCTAGGTGCATTGACCCCGGATGTTTGTTTAAGGCATTAAGGTTTTACAGATGTTGTTATTATTCATCGTTCCGTAGGTTGGTGTGGTCGTACGACAGCGAAGTATAAGCTCAGGTGGTTAATGCATTGCTGCCAATGCTGATAAAACTTAAGGAATACTTTGGCTTATCTTCACATGATTAACATTAGGCCAAAAGTCCAAAGGAATATCTGTGGAGTTCAGTCAAATAAACAACATTCTTTGTGCCGCGGTTTCGCCATCCAGTGATTTTAGTGTTCCAAAATGAAAAACCTTATTGACGTGGATTCCACTCGGTACAGCAACCATCATACCATCTACTGGTCTAGACTACTTAAATAGTTAAATAATTAGAATGGATTTAATGGACATTTTTACATGATTGTTTTCTGAGCGCTCAGTATCAAGATGTTCACATCCCCAGAAGTTAATAAGACGATATATTCCAGGCTCTAGTCAGAGAAGTACAAAAAGCGTTGGTCTTTAACATACGAAGCAGCACGGTCTTGACAGACTCAGGATATGCACCAAGGTAGTTTCTGTTGGTCTCAGATGCCAAGTTTCAAGCAATGTAGGCCCCAAACTCCAAAACTCTGCTCAATAAACATTAATAGTTAATCACGTTCGACAACATTCACTAAGTCTTCTTTATCGGTTGAGAAATTTAAAATCTTTCCATACCATTCATTTTGAAACCGCTGCAGTTAAACGCAATTTTTCTAAGAGAATAAACTATTTAGAGGTTTGGACAAATTTTCAAGTTTTCCTTGTCATAAAATTTATTCGATACCAGTCAGAAGCCATAAGTTTGTGCAGGTGATAACGCGTGCGATATGGCGAAAGGTATCCGTAAAGATCATACTAAATTTAATTATTGGTAGAATTTATCCATAGACCAATTGGTGCCTTATGCTTACCTAGCCGTTATACGAGGAAATCTGGCTATTGTCTGCATGGATAACTGCGCACAAGTGAGTGTGGAGTATGCCACACTATGTCTTAACTAATAATCCAGCTAAGTCGGCGGCTGCGGTCACCCGTGCTGTAGTGGTGTTCATCACTGATTAGTAACAGTTGGGCACCGTATTCTTGCTCCCCACGAACTAGGTGGGATAAGTATTATTGACTAGTCCTGCAATTCTAAATCTTCTAGATGTGTACTGGCCGCCTGCATGAATTCCATACATCTGCACCGTCTAATTTCCTCTGGTAGCTTTTGGTACTTACGTAACTAAATTTGGATTCGATGACCAATTTAAGTTATGATTAATTCACTTAGCACTACACAATAATAATAATAATGATAATAATACGTATATTTCTCTCGATGAGAGAAACTGTCTATAGCGGCATTGCTCAATTTGTACAGAAGGATCCATGCTCTTGCATGGGTGACATGAACAGGTGGAGTATCGGGATATGCGTTTCATGTATTAACATCCTGGGGGATGGGTGAGGTCAAAACCCAGTTATGAAAGCATTGATATTTAGGTTTTTGGCCCCTCATCGATTAACTCGTCGATGGATTTTTTCAAGTGAATATAGGGCATAGGGTAGTTAGATCAAGGTAACTGGCGAGTTTGCTACTAAATATTGCCTCATCGTCACATGACCTGCGTGTTACGGATAGTTTATTCCACAGATAGCTGTATCTGACCAGGAAGAAACTAGAGCGCACATTCGTTCTAGTCTTCGGTATATTCAATGTAAAATCTTTGTTGTGAAGCGCTCGAGTTGAACAATGTAGTGAATTGAGTGTAGGCAGGCTGGAATGGGTCTTTGTGTGTAACAGGTTGAAAAGCATTAACAAATTGTGCTTCAATCGTCGGATCAAAAATGGTTCGAGATGAAGTTCATTGCACTTTCTCGATAACTCATAGTAGAGTGTTTACCAATCAGGTGTTTAGTAACTGAACTCTGCAGGTCCTCACACAGCAATTCCGTCACTCTTTCTTAGTAAAAGTTCCATTTAGATATTTTGGAAATAAACGGGGTGGCAACATTGCATAGCACAGGGAATGCTTACTTGCATACTCCGTCTGGAATGTGAAATTATGCACATACACGATCCACGTCAACGTAATGGCACGAATTCCATTCAATGCTGACAACGGGTGTTGCTTCACTTGTCCGTTTTGGTCCACGTGTGTGGGACCTGTTGCACACCACAATTTCCGTAGATTCCAAGGAAGAGAGAATGCGACCAGACTACCTCCATAAAAGTAGTATTTCAATGCGAAACCTATGATGATGGAGAGGAATGTTCATTTGTGGTGATGAATTTGCCTAACAAAGCTACTTTTTCTTCATTTAGGCTCGATATATGTGCTAACTCTAAAGTAACCAGCACCGGTTACTGCTTACAGAACTCTCCTTACTAAAGCTGTTGTACATCACAAATACCACACAACCTACGCTATCATATCTAACGAACTACTGGAAATGACTTTCGTGCTTATGCACGAGGTGCGTTCTGCATAGGGTTTGGAGGTACAGCCACTCTCACCATTGGTTTTAGAAGCGCAATGGAATCCGGATCATCCTTGCTGTAATTGAAGGCATAACGAAAATAGTAACTTACAACCCACAACCGATAAAACCAATACATGAAATGCTTGTAGGAACGGAATTGTTGGCGACCGAGGTGGGAAAACTGTTACTTTTCATTTGTCTTTACCCTCTAGGTCAGGGGTCAGCAAAATTATTACACAGCGGCCCCGATGATTAGAGTAAAGGCTATCGCGGGCCGGATAACAGGAAAAAATAAGTTGCATGGGTCTGATATAACTGATGAAATGGTTGGACATGGGCCGCATAATCACTATGCACCTTAGATGCAAACCAGAATGGAAACTTTGAGAAATGGACAAAGGAAACGTGACACTCGATGTCCGCCATTCCATTTTTAGTAGTCATAGTGCAAGGTGAGATACAGGGGACCTGACAAAAAATAATAAAAAACTATTAAAACCCCGTAAAAACACAGGAGCGTTGGTCATTGGTGGAACTACAGCCCACCAGGGTACAGGTAAGGTTTTTGTGAATAGGTTATATATATATATATATATATATATATATATATGCAGAGAGAGAGAGAGAGAGTGAGAGACACAGAGAGAGAGATAGACAGGCAGAGAGAGAGGGAGGCGAAGACGCAGTTTTAGGGCTTGAGCAAAGCCTTTCCGTCAGCCAAATCAACAAGGAATGTTCAGACTGGATATCCGTGCAACTCAGGTGCATCTGGGCTCACCATAACGTTCCAGATCAATTCTTTACTAATAACCTGCAATTCTTTTCAGCTACTCAGCAAGTATGGCTCCAACGTGAAGCATACATAATCAAGTGGTGCCTTATTACGTGCTGTTTCATATGATAAGGTTCAATGGAGTTGAAAAACGGAAAGTTTTGGCACAAAGGTGTAAGGTAGGCACAAACACGAGATGATACATGGATGAATGAATTTCACGCGTGATCACTCACTTAGAAGTCAATGAACAATGATTTATCACGGGCAAAAGAGCATGTACTTGACAAGCCCAGTAAGATTATTGGATTGAAAATCAAAATTGGAAGGAGCAGCGAATAAGGAATTCGTAATTTTAATCGTCTACCGACTTAAATGCACTACTGCATAACGATCATTCGAAATGGGAATGAGATGTGCACACACAAAATAGTATAGAGAGCTGTTATGGTTAAGTACATCCGTGAGAAATAAAAAAGCAAACGACAATGCTCACTCGTGTGTTGCTCCATTTGACCTATGTGATACGTCAAACCAGTTTGGGTGCATCCATGTTGCTCACAAGAACACTTGTGCATGTTTCTCCCCTCTACGTTACTGAGAAAGCCGTTGAGCACATGGTTAGGTTTGCGTTATCTTGTTTTCCGAGTGAAACGGACAACAGAAAGTAATGCAAATTGGAAAACGTGTCATCAAGGCGTTTTTTAGATAGCGTTACTGTAGGGGCAGAGGTGACATGAGTCAGAAGGGCATATAAAGCACGGGAGACACAGAAAGAGAAAACGTTGCGTCGGCAATGAAGTCGACTGCGGTGCGTAACCAGTTTGAGCCGATGATCTCTCAGGTTGGTATTTCGGCTCGGCTGCAAGAGACTGCGACATAGGTGAGTTGAATTTGTCAATATTAAGTAATCCAGGATTAGGTCTCCGCTCTGACGTCGATATTCACCACTGTACCATCTCAAGGACTACAGTCTGTGTTGGTAGAAGAGAAGAAACAATCCTCTAACGGGTTTGGCCGCTCTATGTTGTAGAGCTTCAAGTGCATCGACGTCGCGTTTGCGCCAGAGACGGCAGGCCTGGATCGCATATTCCACGTTGGGCCTCACGTAGGCGTTCGGCATTTGCAGAAAGATTGATGGTTTGTAACTTCTGAAAGCTCTCCTTAAGCGTCCGACATGTCGACTGGCTCTTTTCGATGCCTTTTCAGCCTGTCTCGAGCGGCCCAAATCGTGCTGCAAGAAAACCCGGTGGTCGCTTTCCTCGAAAGCACGTTGCAACTGCTAGTGCATAAGTCACCATTCATGGGTAAGCTGATGGCGCGCGCTTACGAATTTGCACTTCACCGTTGAACTGGAGCAGGTTATCGAATGACCACGTATAAGCCCTGTCGAGATCGTTCTGCAATTCTATGCAGTTATTTGCTGTCTTGATGTCAGGACCGATTTTAACTTCATCTGCGAATAGTAATAAATTCTATTGCAGAACATTGGCATGATCGTTAATGAATACTAGAAATAAACCTGGTCGCAGTACTGATCCTTGGGGCACGCCACACTGGACATCAATTGGGTCGGAAATGGAGCTGCGGCCTCTCACATTCAGCAGACATTGAGCGAGGAAGTTGCCGATCTAACTGAGTAAAGGGTCACCGATTCAATAGCTTCAAAGCTTGTGAAGGAGAATGCGGTGGTCCGAACGACCGAACACTTTGAAGAAGTTCAGGTGGACTACGTCGACTCCCATTCTGGCATCGGCTTACTCTGTCCAGCTTGGTCGGACTTGCAGCAAGTGTGTAGTGCAGGATCAATTTTGGCGGAATCCGTGTTGATGTGACACTAGGACGTTGTTGCTCTCAAGATATCCCATGAGCGCCTCTGCGATTCTATCATACTTTACTTTGGATAACACTGGGAGGTGAGTGATTAGACGCTAGTTCCAGAGCTCTGCACGATTATCACTGTTGCAAATGGGAGTGACTATTCAACGTTCTCACATCGTGAGAACCTGTATTTTATCGAGACAACTTTGAAGACACCGAGCTAACGTTTCTGCAAAGTTCCTGGCCGCTGTCTTCAATGTCTTCGGTTTGATGTCGTCCACGCCAGGTGAGCTATGCACCTGCAATGACATTATCCTTTTTCACCACATTGGCTGCCGTGAACGGTACGTGGTTAAACTCTGGTGGCGATGGGAGCTATGTCAAAAGCGGATGAAATGAGGATTCACTCTGGAAAGCGTGAATGAAGTGTTGGCGAAATACTTTGGCTGCATCTTGTGTAGTCTGCGGCAGTCCATCTGGTGTACGTCAAATTGGCATCTCGTGCTGCATACTGCGCAGATGGTTGACGTGTCTATACAGTAACTTGGGAGTTGTATCGAATTTTGCCGCTAAGTTTTGTTGGTGCTGAAGTTTGCCTTTGCGAATTGACTTGACGTAGTGGTTTTGTCGAGTTGCATATGCATCCCGTTTCAGGTTACTTGGACAGAACTTGTAAGCGTGTCAGGCTGGATCCCTTAAGGCTATATATTTTGTAGTAAGACTCCTCATGAATGAGTTCCTTTGCTTCGGGCGAAAGACCTTACTTTCTGACGTATTTGTTGCCAGCTGGGTGAATTGGGTTACGAGCACCATACAAGCGACATCGGGCGGCTGCTCGGCCAGGAAGGACGAGTCAGTTTCTTGAACGAGCTTGGACAGCATCTCGTAATGCGTAACAACATACGTTCTCCCTGCGATGTGAGATAATAAATAGTACGATAAAACGGTTTCGCAAGTAGCAAACATGGGATGGCTCACGTGAGTGTTCAGACCGTATACGGTCACAGGCAACACGACATGCAGTGCCGAATGCAAATTGCAGTACAAAGTCTAGTATTTTATACGCTTTATCATGAAAACTAGGGTACAGTCAGCGGGCTGGACGAATTTACGTCGCGGGCTGGATTCAAGTCGTCGGCCGTAGTTTGGTAACCCCTGTTCTAGGGTGATAAGGCAGTATGGTGCATTAATGGTTTACAATCATGCAACTTCATCAAGCAAAACTTGAGGTTTTAGATAACAAGATCTCACGAGCAACACAAGTTCACATTGGATTATTGTCGTGAAAAGTTGAGGCGATTCACCGCCACTTTTGTCGTTCAACATCGTAGACAAAATTCCCACTGCCAAACACGGTATGGACTGATAATTTAACCGAGAGGATTAAATAACCGCAATACTGTTTTCAGTCACGCTTCGTGTCCGCTTGCAAATTTCAAACGAGTGCACGGCGGGTCGCCCGGACCCAAGTCTGGCTGGATAGGTGGATCATCAACAGTTCATTTAATAGACAATGACATTCCTTTCCGATACCACTCCAACGACTAACTCCTTTAAACTTTGCTCTATCTTAGAGTACACCAAGGAAACAAGGTTCCCCTCTTATCGAGCCCATTTAGCGTATCACAAAAGCTTGCGAACATTTTCGCTGCCGATGCGCTAATACTGCAAGAGAACAGATGTGCCCCTATGTTAGACTGGTGAATGATATAAATTATCCAAAAATTCTCAGGCCAAACACACTATCCTGTGTGGACGCCCTGAAGAACTCATGGCTCCAAGTGGGCTGGGATACTAGTAATATTAAAAAATAATATGTCAGCTGTACGCCGTCTCGGCGCTTCGCTGCCGCGCGATCACCGCCAGTCGCGCGCGGGCTGAGCATACCGTGACTATTCCCACAACTACGCGGATTCGAACCGGTGACCTTACGGTTACAAACCATGTGCGCAGACCACTCGGCCACCGGCCGACGGTTGGGATACTTCCACGATGTTCCAACTTTAATAAGAGAACGCTTTTCCTGTCCACCTTCAGTTTTTGGTTTGTAACACAGGCTGTCACGAGAATATGGGTCACGGGAATACGATAACGGTAACCCAACTTGGTGCGTTCCCGTTTACGGGTTCTCAACCGGATGAAAGGAAATCGGCAGCATTTTCCATTAACTGTTATTC